TGTTGTGGCCTCTCCCGTTGCGGAGCACAGGCTCCGGACGCACTGGCTCAGCGGCCATGGCTCACGGGCCCAGCCGCCCCGCGGCATGTGGGATCTTCCCGGACCGGGGCACAAACCCGTGTCCCCTGCATCTGCAGGCGGACTCTCAACCACTGCGCCACCAGGGAAGCCCCTCATACCAGTTTTTATTCGTCCTAATGTGCCCTAATGTGGAGGAAGTTACTTTCTATCTTTAGTCTGTTCTCCTTCCTCTTTTTCTTATTTTTCTTCCTCTTTGGGAACCTCCTTTACTCCGTCTTAGCTTGAGGTTGGATAGAGCTGGTTATGGGGGTTGCCAAGGAGTGTAGTTGTGTAGTTGTGGTCTTTTTGGTTAGGGGCCTGATGGCCATAAAGTAGGAAGGAAAGTGTCTTTTTTGGGGACTGCTGAAAGAGAGTTCCATAAACTGGGTAGTTTTTTAACAGCAGAAATTTACCCCTCACATTCCTTGAGTTTGGAGTCCAAGATCAAGGCGCTGCAGTTTCAGTGTCTTGTGAGACGTGGTTGATAGACAGCTGTCTTCTTGCTATAACCCCATATGGCAGAGGGGACAAGAGATCTCTCTCAGGCCTCTTTTATAAGGGCACTAATTACCTTCCAAATACCCTGCCTCCTAATACCATCATGTTGGGGGTTAGGATTTCAACATATGAATTTGAGGAAAACACAAACACTCAGTCCATAGCAGAAAGGGCATTTTCTTTTCATTCATCAAATGCAAGAATGATCCAGATGACGATGAAATAAATATCCTAGAATTCCTGGGTAACATCCTGGATAGTTGAGTTCACTCATGTAAAATCAGTTGAGGAGAGTTACCATTCTCATGACTAAGTATTTACTTAAACATAGTATTCACAGAAAAAAATAAAACCATAAAAAAGGACTTTTCTTGGTAAAAATCATTCCAAAGCAGAATAGACATGCACAATTTTGAGGAATCTTTGATGAGTTTTGAGTAATGACCTCTTCATTGAATCAACTTGATTTTAGATCAAGACTAGACCTGGATACACATGTATGTATACATAGCTAGATAGGTAAACAGTCCCTGCCCTACCCCCTTTGCCCCTGCCACTTCCAGCTTGCTTCCTTGCTCTGCCATCCCCCAGCCCAGTCTCCTGTCTCCCCATCTTCTATCGTCTGACTCTGGCTTTCATGTAAGGTTCTCTTCCAGGAGACATCTGGTGGATTTGAAAGTCTTTTTCCTTGAAGCATGATCCCTTTAGGGACTTGTCATTCTCGTAGAACACAGAATGGGTAGTGAATAGGGAGTGCTGAGAAGTCAGAACTTGGGCTATTCTGATCCAGCTCTGATCTTAACTAGCTGATCAGGTTCTTCCACATAGATTGTGGAAGTGCCTTCTCTTAAGAAGAGGAGTTCAATAAATGGTTTCTCATCCTCTTTGGGCATCACATTATTTATAAATGGAAGAGGTTGGGCAAGATGATCTCTAAGGACCCTTCCAGCTCTGAATTCTGTGATTATATTCTACATGTTAGGACAATGTGGTACTTACTGGCATCACCAGTAATGAAATTACCCATCCTTTATCTTATAAAGGAAAAGCAAAAACCAATAACAACAGACCAGCCAAGCCTAAAAAGGAGAGTATGTGGATTTTTATCACACCGGCAACTCTCCAGTGATGCTTGTGATGAATGTGAATGTCTTCATAGAAAAAAACAAAAAAAAAAAAAAAACACGCTGCCCTGGGGTGACCTGACCTGCCTTTTTGTTTTGGACTTGGATACGGCAAACATGTTTTTTTAAAAAAAAAAAAAAAAAAAAAAAAAAAATCCCAGCTGCCCTGGGGTGACCTGACCTGCCTTTTTGTTTTGGACTTGGATACGGCAAACATGTTTTACTTTAATGTAGTTCTGCATGCTTGAGACTCAGAATGTAGCTGAAAATAAAAGTCTGTGCTTAATACTTGCTGGTAAGAGATTATCTTACAAAAAATGTTTTTCTTCCATCTCCTTATCTCTTATTTACCTCTTCACTCAAACCTTGCCCCATCCTTCACAGAGAAAGTTCACGGGAGGTTACCAGGTGGTTCTCACTCAGATTTCATTCCCTCAATTCTAGAAGTACCCATTAAGTTTCAATCTTTATCTTTCTTCTTCCTGTCATAGCGGATGAGATGTCCTGCCAAGACTAAGCGTCTACAGATCCAGCCCTCGACCTCATTTCCTGTTAACAGGGCTGGGATCCTGATCCAGCTCTTCTGCTTCCTCCTCGTCTTTAAAAACCACACATCTGTTTCCAGTCCTAAAAAAAACTTTTTAGTGACCCTCCCAACTGCCCGCAAAAGATTCAGCCCACTAGTCCTCCTTCCATTAAATGCCGTAATAGAACAGAATAATTTCTGGAGTGAAGTGTCTCACTTCACTTGCCACAGCCATTAAGGTTGTTTTTGTTTTACCCCATTTCATGCAGCCTTAATCTTATCCTTTATGTGCCTCACTCAACATGAGATAACAGAAATGAAGCGATTTCTTTCTCGTTTGGCCTTTCCTGTAAATCTCATTTCCAGATTTGCTCCAAATTAGAGGAAAGGTTAAGTGGAGTGGGAAAACAAGAGGAAGGCAGAGGACATTAGGCTCTGTTGAGGCAGTGCACTCAGACGTTTTACAGCTCGATTTTACCCCTTCCTCGATCGATCCATCCCACGGCCTTGCCATCTCAACTTTTCTCATCGGGAGGGCGTGTGCGCCTTTGGGCGGCCTCCACGATCTATGGGCCAACACCCTCTGCAGCAGGAGGCGCGTGCGGTGCATCTCCACGAGGGCATTAGCGCTCCAGAACAGCTCTCACCACTCTCCCCCTTTTCCCAGCTGTCAGCAGAGGAACTTCCTCTGACCATCTGCTGCCGCATTAGTCAGAGTTCATCAACTTGTCCACAGGATTTCTCTCCCAAAGCTGTACGGTTGCTCCTCTTGTTCATTGTATGTCTGTTTTTCTCATTTCTTAGGGGAGTTCTGTTTTGTTTTTCTTTTACATTTCATTCTGTTCATTTGAATGTGGATCCCAGATACTTCTAACTGCAGAAACTTTAATGCTTCCCTCTGCCTGTTTTAGTGTGGCACAACTGTAGTCTAGAGACGAAGAACAAAGGGAGTCCTAGTAGAGAAACTGAAAAGAGTCAAGGTTCATGAAACCTGAACTTAAGTCAGTTTCTCTCTGCCTCTATTTTGTGACCTAGGGCAACTTACATCACTTTCCTGCCTCAGTTTCCTTATTTGTAAAATGTGAATAAAAGCATTACTCAACTTCTTGAGTTCTGTGAGAACTAGAGATAATTTGTGGAAAAACTGTGACACAAGCCTACTGTTATTTCTGTTAAATTTATTAGCAGTGGCACTAGCGTCACGACCTTCCTAAAATTGCATCTGTGCCTCACAGCAAGAACTTTCTACCCTAGTGTGTAGCAGGTATAAAGCACATCCCTAATCAGACTGTCAATATTTAAGCATCTTTTCTCCTAGGCTGCCTGTTGGGGACATGTACTGTGATCCGCACCAGTTCTTTTGTAGGCAGAGCTGGCATCCCGGTTTGTTTAGCTACTGCTATGGACTCCAGCTTGTGGGGGGCTTCTGGCTGAAGATGACTAGTGCCCAGAGGTGCTTTAGACTAGAATCTGGGCTGCCTATGCACCTGCCGCACTTCCGAGTACTGTGTGGCATGCGGTGTTCCTTCCTGAAGGTGCTGGGTGAAAGTGCTTGTCAGTCAGAGCCTCATCACAAGAGGCTTGACAGTCCCCTTTGTCAAGCGTTTCTGCCGGAAGACATCATAGCAAATTGGTCCTGTGTTACAAACCTCTGCGTTCTTTTGCAGACCAGCAACTTTTTGGTTGTGTTAGAGAAAATTACAGGAGAATTTTTTTTTTTTTTTTCCTCAGCACTATCCAGTAGAGCTAGCAATGATATCTAGGAGACGCATTACCGCTCTCAAGCTCACAACGTTTAAGCATGATGTCTCTCTGTGCCTGAAAATGCAAGCGATATGACCACTTTCTTTTGCTTCCAAACCCCCTTTCCTTAAGTCAGCAATATGGTCCCTGCCAGAGCGAATGTCAGAATCAGGCTAGGCTAGCATACTTGCCAAAGATTTAGGTAAGAGACATTATACAAATGTCTAAATTATTGCAGTTTGGAACTCTAAGATTTCTAAAAATCACTTTCACACAATTCATTATTGTTAGTATTTGTGACTATTTGATAAACTCCAGAATCTTTTTCTGCCATGGAAAATAAATTATTTCTAATGGCTGTTTTTTTTTCGTTTTTCATTTTAAACTTGAACTTTTCCCTGAAACAGTCACATGTCATCACCATGCTTTTCTCTATTTAACACTTTTTCTTACCTCCACCCTAGGATGGTCGTCTGCAGGTGAATGACCAGCTGATTGCGGTTAACGGGGAGTCTCTTCTGGGAAAGTCCAACCACGAAGCTATGGAGACACTTAGGCGATCAATGTCCATGGAAGGAAACATACGAGGGATGATCCAGTTGGTGATTCTGAGGAGGCCAGGGAGACCACTGGAGGTGATGCAAATTTTTATTTCCTTCTGCAAATTGCCCAAATGGCCACCAGAATATTCACACTTCCACCACTAGTATGGTAGCTAGGCTCGTACTGATACTGAAATTGGAAAAATATGCCCTAGAAGTGCTCTGATGGGTTTATGTGGCAAATTGGTGGTTGTATATTTTAGGTATAACTAGAAGGTATAAAAATGTGCATGTAAATTAAATAATTTATCTAGGGTAACAAGTCCATAATTTCCAGGTTTCCTCCCAGAAACTCCTAGAGCTCTGGACTTTACGAATAACGCTTTATTCATATTATAAACATTAAAGCATAAAACATGCTTATATACTTTTTGGATGACATGCTAGCAGTGTCCATACCTTAGAAAGTTCTTAATCAGATGTATATAATGCTTACTGTGAAGATCATTATAGTGCAATCACCTCTCTACATTCTTCCCTGTAATGTGTGCCTGGGACTTAACTAATTTAAAATTTGATCTATTAAACAAGCTTCTTGCTTCATGTTCTTAAATAAATGTTTTTAATTAAAGAAGTATTTTTGAAATCTTTTATCACGATTTCTTTATGGATATTTTAAATGTAAGCAATATTTTTACATACACATGAAGTGTGAACGTAAACTATTCTTGAATGCTGATATCCCTAAACATTTCAGTTACATACAATTATATTATTTATATAATTATTATATTATACAATTATATATTATAGTGTACAGCTATCATATTCATCATAAGGTATTCCTAAAACATTATTTTCACTTATATAGAGAGAATAATTATTAAATGCTCCTAAAAATTATTTTAAGAAAATATAAGAAAAAAGTCGATAATACTTAAGAGTTGAGAAAAACATCAGCAAATCACACATATATTCTCTAAGGACAAATAATGTTTTTGTGATACAGTAATACACAAAGTTAAAATAGAATCCTATTAAAACACACTAATATAAACTATTAGTTTTAATAATAAGTTCAACTTAAACATTTTAAAATGAAAAGGTTTTGAAATTAAGACTGGAAGGTAGTTGGGGATGATAGTGGTTAAAATGTTGGGCTCTGGAGTTTTGGATTCCTTGAGTTAAAATCCCACGTGAGTCATTTCCTGGCTATGCAAAGACATACATAGTTGAATGCTCTGTACTTACAGATAGCAATACTGTTGTCTGCCTTATCCCTTCATAGATCCTCATTTCCCAGCACCTAGTAGTAAACGGTTGTTATATATTGTTGAATGAATGGATACAAGTTGCATCTGAGACCTACTTCTTCTGAGAGGATAAGCTGTAGTGAACTTATCAGTTGTATCTTACTTTGTCGTTTTATCAGCTGTTGAAAAGGAGTAACTACCTTTTAGCTTTTCTGTACATAACCTTGTAAATGTTAAATAAATGTAAATTTCCCAATTACTGGAGACTATATATAATGAACCAACTCATTTCCAACATTTGTGTCTGCTTAAGTGACAGAGAGGTTTCCATGAACATTTCAGGGATTTTACTTATGTACATAGTCATGAAACCCTTAACGCTTGCTTCCTACCATGAGAGAATAGGCTGCTTTCTGGTGGAATTTGGTTCTTACTCGAGAGCCCTAGACCTCCACAGAACCCACTTGTTGGATGCGGGTGTGAAGTATGACCTGTAGACCCCTGAATCATCCCTTCCATGCATCTGTCTTTTAGATCTCCCTTAAGATGTCTTGGGACAAAGATACCTCAACTAATAGAAAAGTCTGGAATACACTGCTCAAGAATTCCATATCTGTGTAGATAGAAAAAGTAAAGGAAGAAAAAAAGAAATGAACATGATTGCTAGAAGAGTTCCCTCCCCACCTCTCCACCTCTAATCTTCCCTTGTTTCATGTCTTTCTCTAAAATATATGAATGCCTAGAGGATAAGTACTCTCTGTTTTCATTATCCTTTACGGCACATATTTTCATTTTAATTCTCACACTCTGGGCTGGGTTGACAATTATTTCATCAGAAGAAAGTACTAAGCCTTCAGTTGGTTGCCCATCCTCAGGAGTGTCTTTGTTGTTGTTGTCGTTGTTGCTGTAGTTCTTTTTTTTTGTTTTTTTTCAATAGATCTTTACTGGAGTATAATTGCTTCACAGTGCTGTGTCAGTTTCTGCTGTACAACAAAGTGAATCAGCCACATGCATACATATATCCCCATATCCCCTCCCTCTTGCATCCCCCTCCCACCCTCCCTATCCCACCCCTCTAGGTGGTCACAAAGCACCGAGCTGATCTCCCAGTGCTGTGTGGCTGCTTCCCACTAGCTATCTCTTTTACATTCGGTAGTGTATATATGTCGATGCTACTCTCACTTCGCCCTAGCTTCCCCCTCCCACCCCGTGTCCTCAAATCCATTCTCTATGTCTCCAACTTTATTCCTGCCCTGGAACTAGGTTCATCAGTACTTTTTGTTTTTTTTTTTGGATTCCATATATATGCATTAGCATACGGTATTTGTTTTTCTCCTGTTAATACTGTTCACTGGGGACTCAATTGGGAATAAGAAATGGGACAAAAAGCAGTTTTATGAGGACATTTAAACAAGATCCATTTTTATTTTCCCTAATATTTACATGCTTTCCATTGGGGATGAGCAGGCACTTGGCTCTCTCAACTAGTGGGAATCTCTGTGGCACCTATGAAGATTAAAGAGTGTTTTTTTCATATAAAGACAGCAGCCTAATGTACAGATGATCTTTATTAAATTTAAAAAAAATCTGTAGCTATTTGATATCCCAAATCTGTTTTGCTGTGTCACATCATATATGTTGTGTGCTCGTGTTTTTGGAGGATTCTTCAGTGGGACAGCAATCGCCCTCAGGTACAATAAAAAAGAATCTGTAACCTAGAAAAGGCCTCAGTTCTGCCCATATATTCAGGGAAATCAATTAGTTAGATTTTGGAAGAGTACCAAAATGGTTACTTGAACATTATATTGATATTAAAAAAAATACTGAAGACGCTACTTAAGAAAAGTCAAAATATATTGTCGTTGGGTATTTTCTCACATTACCCAGATGTACAAGATATGTAAACAGTTTTGATGAGGACCTGGTGAAGAATACATAATGAGCCCTTGATTGAATCAAAATCGTTTTAAACAGAAACATGTTTTTCAAAGGATGAGCTTGAGGTTCAATTGTAATTCTATTTGAGCCTAGAGACTTGGTATTAAAAAATGGGTTATGACCTGTTTTTTTTTTTTTCCTTCCCCAAAACATTTCCCTCCCTTGAGCTGTAAGCTCGGCTTGGTGGAAGCAGAATATGTTTAAAAATCCATTGTATTTTTTATTGGCTGGGACACTAATGGAAGGCTCCACGGCAGCTCTGTTTTACAGGCTGAATATTTTAATTAGGCTGGTTACTGATCAGTTGTTGGGATATTGATTGTGTCATTTATCAAAGAGCTGGGAAAGCAGAAAAAAAATTTTGCTGTTGTTGTTAAAGCACTTGACTATGCAAGGTAGGTCCTACCTCTCCTACCTTCCAGGGCTCCAGCTTTAATTTAGGAGTAGTTTGCCCCAGGCTTGGGTTGACTAATGAACCAGGGGCAAAAGGTAACACTGGGTGTGGAAAAAGTGTTATAAGCCTTGACAAAAAGCTAAAGGACCTTCAGCAGCTGAAAACATGTTAATTATGAAGAATGCATGCATGGAATGTTTTGAATATTTTGTTTAACTAGCAGGATACCAAGTTTCTGTAACTAAAGAGGAAAGTAGAAATCAAATGCATTGTTTGGGCCAAATGCTCTTTTTCAGAAGGAAAGAGGTTTGGGGATCAGATCTATGTTTGTGTTTGCGGAATGTTCCTCTCACAAATGGTCAAGGGAACGGCCCTGAGATGGCTTTCAAATTACTTCTTTGAAATCTGTTAGAAGACACACAGTGTGAACCAGAGCAAACCCCAGTTCTCTGTGCCTCATTCCTCTAGAACAATCACTAGAGCTCCCTGCGGACGGCCCATTCCTAGTACCTCGGCAGCACCTGTGGAACACGGTTTATCCTGGAGCTAGCAGTTTTAAGGAAACTGAATTTGTTTACAGACTATCAAAATCAAAACAGATGGGGGAAATATGGAAGAAGAGAAAAAAATCTCAGGAGAACCACTGCCTGGCATTGTCCCAGCAGTTTATTTTAGCTCCTGGCCAAAAGGGCTAGTGTCTGCAGTGGAACACGCTCATGACATTTCAGTGACAAACCTGCCTGGGTTCTGACTTGTCCTAGAGCATATACACTTAGTCACCAAGGGAGAGGGAGACAGGAGCCAGCTGGTTGGCAGAGAAACACCCTTGGCATGAACTGTATTCTTATGTTGACACTGCCACAAGCTGTACTCCCAGATGGAAGAAAATTTGAAAGAAGCTAGTTGTAAGTGGTGGGAAAGAATAATAATGTTAATCTGCTTTTGTGCTTGCTATCAGCACTCCTAAGCCTTAACACCACATTGTCAGTATTTTTTATTGCCTATTCAGAGATGTTTTAACTGATAGGGCCATTTTGATTTTCCACAGTCGAAGACTTACGTGCAATAGACTCTTGAAAGATTATTCATAAATTGATCGTTCTTTCACTTTGCTTCCATTGACCAAGTTGGAACATACTAAAAAAGCGAACGTGGGGCTTCCCTGGTGGCGCAGTGCTTGAGAGTCTGCCTGCCAATGCAGGGGACACGGGTTCGTTCCCCGGTCCGGGAAGATCCCACGTGCCGCGCAGCAGCTGGGCCCGTGAGCCATGGCCACTGAGCCTGCGCATCCGGAGCCTGTGCTCCGCAACGGGAGAGGCCACAACAGTGAGAGGCCCGCATACCGCAAATAACTAACTAACTAACTAAATAAATTAAAAAGCTAACGTAATTTTTATTTTCATCCCTTAGGAACCTGCAGAGTGTGGGGCATTTTCTAAGCCGTGCTTTGAGAACTGTCAGAATGCTGTAACCACCTCCAGGAGAAATGATAATAGTACATTGCATCCATTTGGCACTTACAGTCCACAAAACAAACAGAAAGGTAAGATTCTATCCATTCTCATCTGCTGCAAGTGGTATGAGAGAACAGGAGAGTGTTTATTTAGGAAAAAAAAAAAAAAAGGAACAAAGGGGAATTAATTAGACTAAGTGCAGACTTTGTTACTCTGAGTCATGAAAATGAGAGATGGGTGGGAGATCTCACTCACAGGTTGTGAAGCAGATTCCTGGCATTGCCTAAAGTTTAAGTGACAGTTTCTATGCTTGCTGCCCCAAACATGGAGGGTTAGGTATAAAATAAAACCATGCCTGGAGAAACAAAATGACAAACCGTTATATTTTTTTAACAGTCTTTTAATATTGGAAGTTACCAAGTGTAAATAACAACTAAACTTACAAAATATTGATATATGGAATAGTATTAAATCATAAAGTGGTCATAACACAGTCCACAGATTTATGCTTGTTTCTGAGCGGTAAATACTGTGAACCAAGACCATGATACGATGGTGGAATGTTTTTGTTATTGCCTCACTACTACTATCTTGTATGGATCACATTTCTAGTAGTGCTCTACATGTAAAAAACTTGGATTTTCTTCTTTGTTTTTCAAAAATTATACTTATGGCCACCAAGAGAATTCTTTTATTTCCCTGCATCTCCTTTCTTTAGTAACTTTACTTTTTTGTTTGGCAAAAGCAATAGATATTCATGACAGGAAATTAAGAGAAGAGCAATAAAGAGAAAATTTAGTGGCACTTATACTTCTGTCAGAGATACTGATCAATAACATTACGTATATATTGAAAGTGTTTCCTTCATGTAAAAATGTGTATATAAAATAAAATGAAATATATATTAAATGTTTAGGAAATTGCTTTTTAATTAATAGCACATTATGAACATCTTACTATGTCATTGAATATTCCATAACATCACGTTCAGTAGTTGCATAGTAGTCTAGTGAGTGGAGATGCCGTTTATATAATCAACCCCTTATTTACACTTAAGATGTTACCCAAATTTAACGAGGGGGGAACAGTTTCTAGACTCTGAGATTACTCCATCAGAACAAACTTGTAAATCTGAGGTTCCTCTAGAATTAAATTCTTTCATCTGAATGGGATGCTTTTTCCTCTGAATTCCTGTTTCAGTGAGCGTAGCAGCAACAACTGTGATCATTTATTGTTCACTGTCTGTTGCATACTGTGGTGAGCAATTTACATGCACACTCAAAGTAGGTGGTATTTACTATCCTCATTTTACAGATGAAGAAATAGAGGGGAGAGTAAATGACTAACCCAACACCGAGTATAACCCCTGCAGAACCTGATACATCTCCTGTCTCTCTGACTCAAGTTCATTCCCTAAACCACAGCAGGGGCCCTGTCTTACATTGGTCTCTTGAAACTGTTCTTTCACCTCATCCCAAGCGTGTCCATTAGAAGCTGAGTTCACCTTGTGTCAGATAAAGAGACACCCAGTATATCTTCCCTCATCTTAATAAAATTAAAAGTTTTCTTGACAAAGCAGCATCTCCTTCTGAGTCCTTCAGTCGCAATAGCAGGAGAATCTGGGGAAGCAACAGCAAGTTGCCTTCACACCAGAAGAGCCTTCTCTCTACCGCGTCCAAATAATGATCAAGAACATTCCAGCCTTTATATAACTTGATTGGCACTTAATTCTCAAGCAACATGTGGTCCAGTGACAATCCAAGTTCCGGGTTTTATTCCTAATTACACCAGTGATGTCCAAAGGAACATTGGACACCTTACCTCCCATCCTCTGTCTTTTTCAGTACTTATAAAATATCGATGCTGAAGTGATAATTACGCAGTATATTTTTAGAAGACATTGAGATACTCAAGGAAATGCGATAATATCTCTAGGAAGGCTAGCAAAGGCTAAAATAATGAAACTAGATATAGTGTAAGGATCCACCCAGAAAAAAAATTTTAAATAGTAAAGTCCACCCAAAACACACGCTAAAAATAAAATGCAGTAATACTTTGGAACTTCAGTAGAGTGCTCAGAGTTTGTATGTCACTGAACAATTAGAGTCCTTTAGGCACAGAACCACTGGGAGGTTCTGTCTCTTCCCTCCCTCCTGAGACACAGATCCGCGGTCCATAAGGTTCCTGCTACACATCCTCCTCCCACCTCAATTTTCCAAGGTAACATCGAAAATCCAGTTCTTTTAAGAAGCGACCCCATTAAACACTATTTTTTAAAAAGCACAGAAAATCTATTGTCATTATTTCCTTGGGGATCTGTGATATAATACTTGGTTATAAGAATTAGGCTTATCAAAGCACAGATTTGTTATATTTTAATTATAAGAGGCCAGTAGATGGAATGCTTTTTCTTTTTATATAAGCCTATTGACTGAGAGACCAAAAAATATATATAACAGAATTTATAGACAAGATGCTATAGAAGAATATCATGCTCATCACATCTTTGTGTAGCGTTAATAACATTTTCATTTTTGAGAACCATTGAGACTTCCCGAGTTTCCGATGCACACGAGGCGGCCATAGGCCTCAAAGACTCATGAAACTTGAGTGAGTGTTGACTCGCCACCACCAAGCCTTTTTAAGGAGCTCCTTTAGAAAAACAAGATTGACTTGACAAAATGTAATGTCTAGTGAGGAGAGGAACTGTTACAGCCAAAACATTAACTTTTTTTTTCTTCCTTTCCTCCTTTCCTTTGTATATTTAAAAGTCCAATCTTGATATGCTGTGTTCCATCTATTTTTGTAGTAATAGTACTACCACCCATTGTTCCACTGTTATTTTTTTATGTATACATATTCCTGTCAAGCTGTTACAGAGAAAAGGCACTTTTAGAACTAACGTTTGTAGAAATTGTAACACCAGAAAATTCACATTTGCGTTGGAGAATTGCTCGCAATGCCCGCAGTGGAATGAGTGTAGGGCTCCAAGATGGTAATAGGATGGAGGTTGTGTCCCAGGCGTTTACTATAAAATCCTATTAAGCATTCGAATGGTAATGAAGTGCACAAACACTGCATTTTCTGAAGAATCTTGCTGGCAGATCTCACCCTGGGCCAAGCTACAGCCTAAGCACAGTTTGCCTCTGGTTTGTTCTTCCCTCTCCTTTAATAGTTCTCATCTTCCCTTTGTGCTCTACTCCTGCTTCCTCCCCACTTCCAGTTCACGTGAACTCCAGCCCCTGCCCCAGTAGCCCGTTGCCTCAAGTCTGCCCAGGATCACCCACTGAGGTCTTCTCAGGACTTTCATCCATACCCCAAATCAAATGTTTCGGTTCTATGTCCTGTCCCACTGGATCCATGTGCCCTGGGGTCCTTTGAAGAGACACATAATAGTGTGATTATTTATAATATCTTCCCTCCTGGGAACCTGCATGTATCCACCCCCCTATAGCACGTAAGGCACTGCCGCTGCAGTGATGATCAGAAATTGAATTATACTTTTCAATTTTCCTGATGTTTCTGGGATACCTCCGTTGTGCAGAATGCGCTAGGCTGCAACGATGAATACAATGCTGTTATTGTTCTCAAAAACAGTCTAAAGTAGGGGGTCAGCCCACTTTGTCTGTAAAGGGCCACGTAGTCAATATTCCAGGCTTTGTGAGCCATAGGATCTCTTTCGCAACTCGTCACCTCTGCCACTGTAGTGCGCAAGCAGCCATAGACAGTACGTGCGTGAATGTGTTCAGTGAAACTTTATGTGCAAAAGCAGTTGGCGGGCCGGTTTGGGGCCAGGGCCATAGCTTGCTGAGTTCTAGTCTAAAGGCACAAACTCTTTTGCCCTTCTTTTCTGATCTGGCCCTGGCAGGATGGATCCTGTAAAACATGACCTGGTACACTCAGTGAGATCCAGAAATACTATTTTTAGGGGATAAGAATTCCAGACTTTCACGGTGATAAAGGGCTTAACAAAGGTGTTTGGGCCAAGAGGGGAAAAAAATATTCTTTACGGCAACTAGATTTGTTGTTTAAAAAGTACCAAGGATGAAGAGTCATCAGAGAAGGTATTAACCTCTGCATCTATCATTACTTTAAACACACATAGATTATTCATGTGAATGAAATAAAAGTGCAAGTTAATGATCATAATAAAACCAGAGGAGATGCTGAGGAAGAGGAAGGAGAGGAGAAAGAGATGGACAAGGAGGACGTTACCTGTGGTCCAGTAAGAGAAATAAATGTAGGTGAATAGATGATAGATCGATAGATAGCTCATTGCAAAAGCAGCACGTGGTAAATGTTACACACGAATTATTTTCTGTAGTATTAACAGATAGAGCCAAAATGTCAGTGGATAAAGATATTGAAGATGTATTTCTTGCTCAAATCACAGCCCAGTGAGAACTGAGGGACTTGGGCTCCTTGCATTGGTAGCTGGGCCATCTTCCGGTGCCTCATCCACTCATGGTTGCAGCTGGCAGATGGGATTGGGGGGAAGGTGGGGAAGTTGCATATACCCTTCCTTAAGCACTGAGACCGGGCACAACATTGACCGCAGTAACTCACATTCTATTGGCAAGAACCAGTCTAGATACAAAGAGGGCTGGAAAATGGGGTCTGGGGTCTAGCTGTGTGCCCAGGAAGAAAGCAAGAACACAGACACTGGGAGCGCTAATATTCTCCACCACTGTTGTAAAAGTACCTACAGATCCCAGGGCAACAGTGAAGGTTTCATAGAGAAGGTGATATTTGAGGTGGACCTTGGGAGAAGGGTGGGCTTTAATGGACGAAGTGGGCTTTGCGATTATATGAGCAAAGACACCGGGGTAGGAAAACCTGGCCTCGTGGTCTGGGAGCAATAAATAGTCTTGAGTGGCTAATGTGTAATAGGAGATAAAGTTGGCTGCCGGGGACACAGACCTTTATTCTGTAGGCAGTTGTGTGTGACTGCAATGTTTTTGAGAAGGCAGTTACATGGTCACAGCTATGTTTACCACCAGTGAAAGATGGACTGAGAAGTTGAGGATGAGTGATTAGAACCAATGGAAAAGATGTTGTCCCAATATGTCCCTTGTTCCAGTTTACCTTGTAGACCCACTGCTCTTTTTCTCTCAGCAAATCTTTGGCTGCCTAACTGCTGCCCTATTACCAGATCACTGGAGTGGGGGACAGTGCAGGAGGACAGCGCTGGCTGCCTTTGCTCATCATGCTTCTGTACCCTGATCATCTTACTTACCAGATTCCTCCTTCAAATCTCATTCCCTGGGACATGTCAGCACTGCTAGAACTGCCTCCATTTTATACATCCCTGGGGCAGAGCCTGGAGCAAGTCCTTCCCTGGTATATTCATCAGGGTTCTCCAGAGAAACAGAACCAGTGGTGTGTGTGTGTGTGTGTTTGTGTGCGCGCGTGTGTGTGTGTGTCTTTGTATATGTATATACAGATTACATACACAGATTTATTGTAAGAGATTGGGTCACGTGGTTATGGAGGCAGGCACGTCCCAAGGTCTGCAAGGTGAGTGGGCAAGCTGAGACCCAGAAGAGCCAATGGTGTAGTCCTGGTCTGAAGGCCAGCAGGCTCAAGACCTAGGAAGAGCCAGTGGTTCAGTTTGAATCCAAGAGCAGGAAAAAGGCAATGTCTCAGTTTGAAGACAGCCAGGCAGGAAGAATTCTCTCCTACTTAAAGGAGGGTCGACCTTTTTGTTCTATTCAGACCATCAACTGATTGGATAAGGCCCACCAACATAAGGAGGGGTACGATTTACTTTACCCTGTCTACTGATTTCAATGTTAATATCACCCAAAAACAACCTCACAGAATACCAAGTGTCTGGGCACCCTGAGCCCGGTCAAGTTGATACATAAAATGAACCGTCAGACCTGGTATGTGGGCAAGTCAAAGCGGTTGTTACCAGCAGCATTTCTCAAGGACAAAGAGATGATTTTCTTGTTCTAGCAATAGAGTCTACCTTTGACAAATATCTCACTGTAATAGATCCACAGCAGAGTTTATGGTGTACAGAATAATAATCCTTTATTTACTCATTGGCACTCATTGCACTTATAAATCTGCTTGAATATGTACTATCTTATATAATCCTTGTATTCCTCCAATGAAGGTATTCTTATCCCTACTTTATAGATATAAAAACCAAGGTTTATAGAAGCTGAGTAGTTTGCCCAAGTTCATACAGCATTACAAGATTGGAAACATGCAGTCTTGCTTCACAAACTATATTCTTAATCACGATGCTCTATAATTTTTTGCATACATTATTTAATATTTTCATTAGTAATGAGGATTAAACGATACATAAGGCTTAGCTCAGTGTGTGATACACAGTAAGATCTCAACAAACCTTGTTATTAGTTGTTGTAATATTCAGTATACATGTCTATGTTTTTCTGTATGAAATAGACTGAAAAAGTAAACATTTTTAGCAGGTAGGAAAACTAGAACTCAGACCCCAGTCTTTTGCTTCCGAGGCCCCAAACTCAGGGTTTTCCACTACAACACAGATGCAAAAAGAATATATATATTTTTTTACCTCTATGGTGTCTAAATGGTGAGTAGATATACTGTATCTCATGTTTTTTTTAAGTGCTTTTTGTCACTGAGGCAAATGCTTAAATCGCCGTTTAATCCAGAGCATTCATTAGTCTTGTTTACAAAAACGTTGTCATAAAAGAAATGGCTTGTTAATCTTGTACAAATCACAGGTAGTGAATATGTGTCAACCCTTCCCAGGTGGGGAAAGGTAGTTAAGATGCACGGACTTCACTTGCCAGGGGTTGCCAGCAGGTTGCCAGCAAGTCACATTATCAGGCTTAGATTTCCTCGTACACGCTGTATTAGGGTGCATATGAATCCTTCAGTGCTGTGTGAGGACTTATTTGTTTCAAGGCTGGTTTCTGTGTTGGTGAAAATTATGTCTGAGAGATGGACTGAAACAAAACCAGGCGCTGGACGGTTCTGCCTCCTGTTTACTACAGCTTTATTTGTTCTTTGCTTATAGAGCTGTTGCTTCCCAATGACGGATGGGCTGAGAGCGGAGGACCTCCTCCTCCACCACATCCCGTTCTGGAATTGGGCCTTGAAGATTACAGCCACAGGTATCGATAAGATGATATACCATAGGGGCTTCCCTGGTGGCGCAGTGGTTGAGAGTCCATCTGCCGATGCAGGGGACGCGGGGTCGTGCCCCGGTCCGGGGGGATCCCACATGCCGCAGAGCGGCTGGGCCCGTGAGCCATGGCCGCTGAGCATGCGCGTCCGGAGCCTGTGCTCCGCAACGGGAGCGGCCACAACAGTGAGAGGCCCCCGGACCGCAAAAAAAAAAAAAAAAAAAAAAAAAAAGATATACCATAAATATTCCCTGGTATGGTTTTTCTGGGAAAACCCAGCAGCCTTATTGTAACTCTAGTTCTTTCCAGGATGGAAATCTCATAGTATCTGTAATTCCTTTCCAGTGAAAACTTCTCATAGCTAATATTAATACCTCAGATTGTTCATGTTTGCTTCCTGGAATTTAAGATTCATCATATCTTATTAAGATATATGAGAAAATTGATGAATTTTCTTTTACCAAGTTAAAAACTAGAGAGGTGGAACTCAAAAAAAAAAAAAAGTTATAAGGGAAGGTATGAAACAAAACTGAGAAGACATAAAGCTTTTTTTTTTTCTTTCTTATTTGCAATTGGCAAACCCTAAAGGTATTTTAAAAATACATGTTCCAAGAAAGTTAATGGAATCTAAAAATTAAAGCAGCACCATATATAATCTAAACTATTGAAAAGAGTGCCCAATATTGTATCCATTCTGTAATAGAAACAAAAAAATCAATATTTTTTAGACTCACACAAGCGTGAGAGAGAGATTTACTGACATACACACCATTTGACTAGTAGAATTCATAGATTTTGTTCTTCTGATGAGTTTTAAAAATCATTAACTTGTCCCTTTGCTATTTTCTGTATTTATTATGGCTGTTAAAAACTGGATATTTCATTCCATTCTTGTCCCATGATAATCTTGTGAAGTTTTTTCATTTTTCTTGCAGCAATGCTGTTTTCTTTCAAACATCACTATTATGGTTTTTGTTTTGTTTTGTTTTGTTTTTTACAATCTGCTAAAAATAAAGCAATACAGCAAGAGTACAGCTAACTCTATTAGCCAGAAGCTTACCTATATTTAGCTATCTCCGACTCCTACATTTTTGAAGTCAACTTTTTTACTCAAATACAGTTTCTTGAACTAGATTGATAATCACAATAATGTTCTAGATCGGTATCTCTGGAGATTTCTTGAGCAAAAGTCTGGACATTTTTAATTTTGCATGCTTATTTGCATTGCTTGCCTCAATCCTGAATCAAAAATGAGTTTGGTAGCATTAAAAAATCCATTTTAGGACTTGAGGACATGGGGAGGGGGAAGGGTAAGCTGGGACGAAGTGAGAGAGTAGCATGGGCTTATATATACTACCAAATGTAAAATAGATGGCTAGTGGGAAGCAGCCACATAGCACAGGGAGATCAGCTCGGTGCTTTGTGACCACCTAGAGGGGTGGGATAGGGAGGGTGGGAGGGGGATGCAAGAGGGAGGGGATATGGGGATATATGTATACGTACAGCTGATTCACTTTGTTATACAGCAGAAACTAACACACCATTGTAAAGCAATTATGCTCCAATAAAGATGTTAAAAAAATCCATTTTAAAAATAATTTCACTCATCCTACCTTACTGTTTACCCAGGGTATATGCACAGAACTGCTGGAATAGTGCAGAGATAAATCAGATATAAACCTGTGGTATTGTATTCATAAGATAAATGTGTTTGGCCTTAATCCCATTTCTGGTACTGACCCCTAAAAACCTTGGAATTTCCTCCGTATTGAGACTGATCAAGGTGTCATGTTATGTTAATGAAGGGGCTGGTTGCCAGTGGAGCCCGTCTTGTGCTTAGAGGGTTGGAACTTTCAGTCCCATCCAGAGAGATGGGCCTTGAATCAGTTGACAGTGGCCAGTGATTTAATCAATCTTGCCTCTGTAATGAAGCCTCCATAAGAACCCAAAAGGACAGGGTTTGGAGACCTTCTGGGTTGGTGAACATGTGGAGATGTGGGGAGAGGGGCACACTCAGAGCATAGAAGCTCGGAGCCTCTTCTCACATACTTTGCCCTGGGAAGCTCTACGTACGGCGGTTCCTGAGTTATATTCTTTTACAGTAAACCAGTGATCTAGTAAGTAACATGTTTCTCTGAGTTCTGAGAGCCACTATCAAAAACTAATCGAACCCAAGGAGGGGTCTAGGGCACCTCTGATTTATAGCCAGTTGGTCAGAAGTAGAGGTAACAACCTGTACTTGTGACTGGTGTCTGAAGTTCAAGAAGGGGTCTGTGGAACCTCCAATCTGTAGCCCATCAGTCTGAAGCACAGGTGACAACCTGAGCTTGAAACTGGGGTCCGAGGTGGAGTATGGGGGGCAGTCGTATAGGACTGAGCCCTCAACCTGTAGGATCTGATGCAATCTCCAGGTAGATAGTGTCAGAATTTAGCTGAGTTCTCCAAAACCCTGCTGCTGTCCTAGAATTATTGGAAGTATGGGAGAACTCCTCGCCCCCCAACCCCCAACACTTGTTAAAATTGGGTCCAAGAGCCCAAAAGGGAACCCTAGCCTCAAGACGATGGTAGGCTAATAGGTACAAGTGACAAACGAGAACACAGGGGACAAAGTGATATTTACCAGAAGACATAGATAAAACGCCCTGAGCTGCTGAGGCAGAGAAGGGAGAGTATTCCCAAGTCCAGGAAGCTGGGAAAATGTTAGGGGAAACAGTGGTACTTGAGCTGAACCCTAAAATATAAATAGGAGCATGGACATGTAAAGAGCCCCAGAAGGAAGAGAATTTCAGAGAGAGGCAAAGGCAGAAGGAACAGATGGAGGTAGGAAAGTAAGTTGATTTGTGCAACTTCTATCGTGGCTGATTGGCCAGATGATCATGCCCAAAAAGCAAGGATAAGGAGATCAGACTTCATTTGGTAGATAGTAAAGTCTTATTGTGGGAGTTCAGCAGATAAGATTGGGTTTTAGTTGTGTACGACAAGGATTATAATTTTTGTGACTTTCTGTTTGAATAAAAAAAAAAAAAAAGCAAAAAATACCCCAAGGATTAGGTAAATGGAGGAGGGTTAATATCTGCTAGAAGCCAGAGACTCTGTGGATACCTCCTGGGGCCATGGCAGTGAAACTTACTGAGGACCTGTGCTGGGGAGGTTGGGGAGAAACTCTCTCGGGTGGGAACCTTTCAGGGGACACAGGTAGTTGAGAGATATTGCAGAGCTAGAATCATTGAGAATTAGCAACTGCCTTTTTGTCTGCTTCCGTGTCGCCACATATTTCTTCCCTTCACTTTTCAGGAAAGCATGTTTCTCCACCATCTTGAAAAACAGCTTACATTGGCTCTCACTGCTGTAAATCTTCATCACATGATGTGAACCAGCAACTTCCTTTTCCCCCTCTCCCTCCCTAACTGTGTTTAGGCTTCCATTCTCACCCTTTCCTAGAACTGCTTTTTTAACATTGACAGTAATCCCCTTTCAATCAAAAGTATAACTTTTTCTCAGTCTTAAGTCTTCTTTTGATCATTGTCATTCATGTGCTCACTCATCCATTCAAAATTATTTATGGAACTCTAAACTGGGCGCCGTAGAAGGTACTGCAATGGATTGGAAGCATCCCTGCCCGCAAGGAATGCAGTGTCCCCTTGAAGAGACAGACACACAGATAATTAGCAAGCAGCCTGCTGAGCATGAGATACAAAATGTCATTGGAGCCTAGAAGAAAAAGCCACTAACTCTGTCTGTAGGTGTCAAGGAAGGTTTTTTTTACAGGAGAGATAGTGTTTGAAAGGTTTCTTGAAGGATAGAAAGGAACTTACTAGGCAGAAAAGAGGTGGGAAGGGCAACTTAGGTTAGGAAAACCAAATGATGGGAGAGGGAAAATGCAGTGTGTTCACCGTGGCTAAAACATATGTGAGTTCACTTGTGGAGAATAACTGGATAAGGGAAAGCATAGACAAGGATACTAGTCTGGGACAACCAGCAAGAGAGGAGAGGGGCTTGAATGAAGTGAGGAGCAGCATAGCTGGAAAGGAAGGGACAGAGTCAAAGACATTTTTGAAATGGAAGGAACAAATCTAAAGCTTTGAATCTCTCTCTCTCTCTCTCTCTCTCCCTCTCCCCCCCCTCCCTCCCTCCCTCCCTCCCTCTCCCTCTCCTAGGGTCCTGTGACCTGCACCATCCTGCAAACTGCTGTGTTGCCTAGGTGACCAGCAGCAGTGGGGGTTTGCATGTTGGAAACTTACAGTGGAGGGAGCATTGGAAGGGAGCCAGGAGGGCTGAGCAAAGGAGGCTGTCCTGTCTTAAAAAAAAAAAAAAAGTTAAAAGCCCCCTGAAAGGGAAAAGTAGTGCTTTAAGGGATGGAACCAGTCTTGTGAAACAGAAAACTACTAATTCATGAGAAGTGAAAAACAAATTTGATCAAACTAAACTTAGGCCTGTACTTTTTTTTTTTTTTTTTTTTTGGGTGCTTTCAAGCTCGGCCAATGCAGAAGTATGTCATGTGCAATTCATAAACAGCTGAAGAGAGACGGACCCAACAACCCTGTTAGAGATTATCATTAGAAAGGCTGCATGGTTGGCAAGTCATAGAGACTTTTTTCCGGCAACAGTGGGCTGTATACATGTAACATTTTATTTGACATCAATTTGGTGGTGGTCCCATAACCATGGTGGGCTTGAGCATGAATCAAGTAGGCTTTGGTAGAGATATCTGCCTGTGCCTGATTGACTATTTCAGTCCCAAGGACTACTTATTTCCTTGAGTAGTGGTCATTTCATATAGATATACATTGTACTTATGTAACAGATATATTATATTTTTCCATAAAAATTATTCCATATTGGTATGGCTTTGTAGTGAGGTCTGAGTAGGTGGCTGGCCTGAACAAGTAGCTAGGCCATTAGAGATGGCCCATTTATTTGTGCAAAGGTATATTTTTATCAATATTGGAATGATGTGCTCTATGACCAGGACAACTGTCTGAAGTTAG